CAACTAATTCATAACTAAAATAATGAGAAAATAAATGAATATCAGATTGAATGGATCCATAATTTATCATAGTAATTAAGTTACCATTTATCATGATAAAAATTACAAAGTCGTAATTAAAATGAAAACCAAACGAAAATTCAAACCCCCTTTGTGTATTCAAAAACAGTTTGATCTTACCTTAAACCTACTCTGGTAATTTTGACTTATTATTCAGAGTGATTAGGTTTCGAATTGTGTTCACATTATTATTATTATTACTCTAATTATTATCATTGTCTCATCTTACCCCATTTCCAGTCTAGTTGACTTTTTATGTTCTTAACAAGTATATGTGGGATCAGATTGTTCGACATGTATTGCGTTAATATATCATCACATAGTTCTGATAATCGTCGTCTTCTTATAACATTATCGAAGTTTATCAAAGGCACTAATTGCTTTAAATATGTAGCATTGTCTATTAGGTTGGTCATGTGTACTTATCAAAACTGTGAATTTTTACACTTCAGCTGTGGCCTACAGCAAATATTATTCGTTTAAGAAATACAGAACTAGGTACACTTTTTTATATGACAGATAGGGATTCTGTGAAGACTTTCGAAATGTGATGTATACTAATCAGTATTTAATCTTGTGATCTATTGATTCAAAAATCAAATGTTTTACTTACTAAGTCATTACTTATTTACAGCCTTAATTGCAAAAAGGTTTTTAAATAATACTACTGAGATTAACTTGGTTACCTTAAATCTAACTCAGAATTATAGAAATATTCTAAGTGCACCCTGAACTCTCTACTTTTCTGTTAATAAACAGTAGTGGTGATGTGTAAAGATATCTGGCATAACACTTTCTTCCATTCTTATTTCTGTAGTGGCCTTCACTGTTATTTGATTTGTTGTTCTCAATTTTACTTTACATACTTTGTTGCATGTTTCAAGATCATGTTTATTGCGAGTAGGAACAAAGTTGTTACATTATAATTTCGTCCTCTTAAGTGTCAAGTTTTTACTGAGCACTTAACTTCTCGCTTTCATCACATAGGGGAATACAGTTATAGTGTGAAGTGTCATTCTTCGAATTTATGAAGTTCAAGTTCTTCCAGTTTTGTATAGAAACAATAACCTAATCGTTTGTAAATGGAAGCTACCGTAGTCTATTGTAAAGGATTACACAGTGTATACTACATAATTAATTTAGCTAAAAGGTGAACATTTTTATCTAGATTAAATATAAAACTTAACGATATGTAAGAATGTATTAATAAAACCAAGCTTCAAAATTTGTTTTGAAAAACATTAATATTGTAACTAACATCAACACTTGGGAATCGACCAGCAATGAAAGCGGCATAATACAACATTACTTATCCTCATAACTAAAAGGAAATTTCAATTTTTCATGTGACTCTTAAGCCAATAAATTGTAGCTTTCAAAACTTTTTAAACTGATATATTTGAAGAAATTAAACTTTCTCGTTTCCAACGTATAGGATTGTAATATAATGATCCACGGACGATTCTAAAGTGATCTTGAGAATATTCATCAACATGGTTTTAAACCTGTGTGACAAATATGGATTGTAGTTTGCAATTGATGGTTAGGGTTAGGGATTAAATTTAGCCGAATGGATTGATAAATTTCGAACCTAAATCCAAGACCTATTATCCGAAATCTAATTGGTTCGTTTATAAATTATGCTCTCACATTAATCACTTCATTTATCAATCTGATGAATGGTAAAATGACAACAGATACTAACCATATTATGAATAGAATAACTTCAATTAAAGATTGATTGATATTCAACCTGCTCAATTCATTGAATATTCAATAATTTATGTAGTCTATCGATTGACCATAATCCATATTGTCTATAAAGTTTACTCATATTTTTAATCTCCCCTAAGTTTTTATACATTTATATCTTAGGTAGTGAACAGGAATTTTTGAGACTAGGTTTCGTCCTATTCGGCACCTCTCTCCAAGCCATACCTGCAATTCTGAGCAGATCATAACCCATGGTGGATTCACATCTACCTCAGATAGTTATACAGTCTGAGAGTTTGTAACTTGGTTATTCTAGCCGAAACCGAAATTTTGTATAGTTGCTATGTATTTAAACTTGACTGATAATTGAGTAGAATTCGATCAGTATTAAGGAAACAAATAAACTTGAAAGTGATCAGTATACAGTGAACAGTTATATATACATATATTTGTTAGATTATGTAATCGAAGTGTATTTAGTTTTACCAAACATTCATGTTATCTGTTAACAACCTTTCGTTCGAAGTGCTTTGGTTTATGATTAAGATCATGAACCGATTGATGTTAGACCACCTATGGAAACCTGGAAGCAATGGACAGCCGTTTTGTCCCATTGTGGGACTCCTCAGCAGTGTGCATCCACGACCCCGCTCGCGGGATTCGAACCCATGGCCTTCGGTCTCGCGCGTGAAAACTTAACCTACTGGACCATTGAGCCGGCATCCAGTGGTGATAGTGTCTAACATCAACCAATCCACGAAATTGTGCGACCAACTTCCATTGTACTGAGGTAGATACCTGTCTCTACCCGACATGGATTAGCTCCACTGATCATGGCTTCTTATTAGAACTCGGAGAATTCCCTCACGAATCTAGTCACTAGTGAGCACATGTTGATTTAATATGTTTGACGTTCACGAATAACCGTCATATTATCAGTCTCAAACGAATCAATTAACCAATTGCATAAAAAAAACAGATTATGAAATCTCCAGGTTAATGCAACTTATCAATCTCGAATTTCATTTTATTTTTCCCTCTAAGTTTTAACATTTAAGTTTTTAAAATGAACAAAAGACTTGAATGTAAGAATAATTAAAAATAATAATAAACAAAGCCTCTTTAAATTATGTTATCCCTACTAGTCAAAATATTGTTTATCCCTAAAGCAGTTTAAGTTACTTTCTTTTTATTAAAGTATCCTTTCTTTTTAGTTAAATGCACTAAGTAACAGAAAACATTTTGTGAATTTTATCACGAACACATAGGATAATTGAAATTCCGCGTGAATGAATGAATGAATGAATGTAAGAAACTAAATTTATATTATGATCTAATGTTGTAAAATGAATGATGAATATGAAAATTAAGTGGCGGATATTTAAATTGAATTTATAATGGAACGTGTTATACAACGGATAACTATTGAAGCATTAATTAGTGTGTGTTTTTTTCAAAAAAGAAATAAAGTATTAACAGTGTAATGTCGATAGAACAATGAGAAGACAATGTTAATCTGAACAATATGAGTTTTATATTTATGAACAATCGACTGATGAATTCAACTGTTAAAATATTACAATCTTTACAACTTCCCGTACAAAATGTAATGAGTATACATAATGTAGAGAGAACAATTAACACTATATTAGACAGAATAGGAAACTGTCGCATTACCCTAGGACATATAATGACTTAAGGATTACAAAAGGTGAATTCAAGATTACGACAATTCTTGTTTGTACACATAGCCAAGGTTTCTATAAACTTGAAAAATTGTCCCTCATAATAAAATGTCTGAACAGTTAACCATTGAAATTGATTGTGAAAAATTAGTTCATTTTGCAAGGATCATTTATGTCATGAATAGATTTTAAACTAATGAACAATAAAAGTAAACTACTTTGGTAACTGGGACTAAGTTCTTAGCCATAGTCACATAGAGCATACAGATAAAAAATGATTTTAAACCACTTGAAAAGAGAGGAACTCATTCACAATATGTAAAAGTCTTCATATCCCATAAAAACAGTATATAGTATTTGATTTCTTCCATATGTATTATGGATTCTCCATGGTAATTACTTTATGACTGACTATAGATTACTCTTAGTTTCTCAAAGTTATTCAAGAATCATTTACTTTCAGGAATATTTTTTTATTTTCATCATTCAAGTTTCTCATTTACACTAGTCTCCACAAACTGTCAATTCTAAATCTATTGACTCTCATTTACAATTGATTCAGTGAACTATCGGTACCGACTTTCAGTTAGCTAAATTCCATCAGTAATATTTATTTCACTTAATAAATGGTCAGGTCTAAGCGAAATAATATTCCAGAAGATTATTATATCTTGAGTTTTTATGCTAAATTGTAGTTGAAAAAAATCTTTAGTCAGTACTTAGAAATTTTTTCACTCAAATTCACCTAAAATAAAAATATTTTCCTTACTGTTTTGAGTTTAAAAACTGATGTTTGCTAGACCATAATTACAAATAAATGAGCACTGGATTGTTTTGTATTTTCCATTTGATATTATCAATGTAACTTTTTAATAGTTGAGTTCATGAGTCGATCTAAGCTAGAAAAACCATTTAAAGCCCGACATCACTAGACAGGAATTTCGTTTTAGTATGAGATTACTCAACAGTGCGCATTTACAATCCTAAACGTAGGACTCGAACTAGGGACCTTCGGTCTCGTACATGAACACTTAACCTCTTACTGTTATGAAATATTAGTGTTCGCGCAAGGAAACCAAATGTTCCAGGTTTGAGTCTCACATATGACATCGTGAATGTGAACTGTTGGTGAGTCCCATACTAAAATGAAATGGCTGTTCATTTCTACCAGGTGTTTCTAGTTTAGATCAACTCATGAAATGAACTATTAAAACTACTACAATCTCCACAAATCTCTATTTTGACTTTACCCAGACAATATTAGGTCATCACAATAACGCGAGACTTATTTATTCATATTTTATAACTCAACATTATGATTGATTAATGCCATAATTGGATTAATCAAATAATAACTCTATCAGTAGTACAAGTGTTTATTTTTTAAATGAATGGAAAAATGGACCAATCAAAAGAAAGGAGGAAATAATGAAATATATTTAACACTCTTCTTTTATTGGTTAAATTATTCAACCAATTACAATGATTCTTCCACAATTTATTTGTTGATTAACTTTGAGTAGTTTATTGTACTCAATAATTATTTTCCACCATACATTTCACATTATATAAGTTTCCTTTTAAATATGATGATGTAATATTTACCAATTATTTATTTATAAAAAGATGGTGTTATTCAATATAGAAATGAATTGGACAAATCAATAATTATCAAAAAACAACACAGTTTATTCATCATTGTTACCACGTTACACTTAGCTTCTAATAGCTAACTGAAATAATCATATGGATTTAATTGTATTATTGAAGTGATTTTAACCATAGATAATTAGTAAGTTACGTCATTGATCGATTCAAATTTAAATAATGATGTCGTTAATTTCAACGTTATTTGGTGTTTATTTATAATCAGTAAGATAAACTTTTGCAGTTGATAAAGTGAATCTAAAGTACTTACTTACTTACGTCTGTTACTCCTTGTGAAAGAGCATAGGCCGCTCACCAGCATTCTCCATCCAAACCTGTACTGGGCAAACCTTTCCAGCTCCTTCCAGTTCCTATTCATCCTTTCCATATCTGCTTTTATTTCCCGACGTAATGTGTTCTTTGGCCTTCCTCTTTTCCGCCTTCCTACAGGATTCCAAGTTAGGGCTTGTCTCGTGATGCAGTTTGACGATTTCTGTAATGTATGCCCTATCCATTTCCATCGCCTTCTAATTTCTTCTTCATCTGGAAGCTGGTTTTTTCTCTCCCACAAAACGCTATTGCTGATGGTATCTGGCTAATGGATGTTGAGTATCTTGCGTAGACAGTTATTTATAAATACTTGCACATTCTTGACGATGGTTGTTGTAGTTCTCCAAGTTTCAGCTCCGTACAGTAGAACTGCCTTGACATTCATATTGAAGATTCTCACTTTGATATTGGTTGAAAGTTGTTTTAAGTTACATATGTTCTTCAATTGTAGGAATGCGGCCGTTTCTTTGCCAATCCTCGCCTTTACATCTGCATCTGAACCTCCTTGTTTATCGATGATGCTTCCCAGATATGTACTTTTACTAATATTAATTTCATGACAACAATTTGAAAATAGTCATAAATCGAAAAAACGGACTCATTGTCGTCTTCTAACATGAAGCTTATCAAAAGTTTTGCATTCATGACTGAATATTAAATCAAAACAAGACGATATGAAGGGTGTTATAACACTTGATCGGTATTGAATCAAAACCCGTTAGTTTATATCGATAAATTCAGTCAAGTATCCTAGTAATTACCCTCGAATGCTCTAGTACGGCCGAGAGTGGGGAGAGTCCGCTCTCCCTCTCGAAATGCTCTCACATGGCTACGCATATTCAGCCTCTGCCAGGGAAGTCCTAATCATTGCCTTCTCGTGGCGGGGGTGTTGTTCACGAAATTGAGAGGACGGAAAGCGAATGTCCGGCGCTTAAACCGGATCCCAAAACAATGGTGCACATGAGCTCCAGTATCCTGAAGGAACAAATGGCGTATGAACCAATCGTTGGTCACCGGCTACCATGGGACTGCATCTCCTTACGATGCTCCACTGCCTTGTGGGTTAGACCTTTAGGTCCAAGGCTCGGGGTGTGGCTCCCTACGAAAACCACCTGCTTCGGTTTGGGCACCCGAGCAGTATCACAGCCCTCATACATATCAAATGAGATTTGTGTGGTGCATATGTATTTGTTGCCTCATTATACCTACCAATATCCATATGTTAAAATAAATAAATAAATAAATCCTAGTAATTATTATATTTACATACTATATGTATGTCATCGAACACCAGTATGAAATTTCTCAGAGGTATATACCCATGAACGTTTCTAATAATATTAAATCCACTATGTTAAAAACATTGAATTTGTCGACTTTATATTTAGTCGTATTGTTTACCGATTATAACATTACAGTTTTAATTAGAACAAATCATGTTTTCATTACATTGAATTTTATGACGTAATAGTTTAGATTTCATGGTATGTAACAATACGTGATTATTGTTTTTATTAATATTAAAGAATAAACTTCATTCTTTCAACCACTTATTACCTTTTTTAATAATACTCATTCATTTTTAATAACAAACATAAATAGAAGAAAATATCAGTGTTTAGATCAATGGCGTGAAATGATCTGTAGAAATTGCTAAACGAAAATATATTACCATTGATTAATTATTCACAAGTAACCACAGACTACTGATATGATATCATATCAGTATTATTTACTATAGACTGTTACTGCCGGTTCCAAGCCCAGGTAAAGGCGGAGGGTTGAGCATGGGGTTAGCGACCCCATCCCGTAGAAAACTAACTCGCTAAAAAAACGCTAACCAGAAAAAATAATTCAAACCATTTAAACTCTGCCCTGGGAGTTAAAAGGTCTTTATTTAGAAGAACTATGATGCCTCATGATGCAAGCCGAGTTCCTTCGGAAGCCACAAGGCCGATGTCCCTTCTAACAACCAGAGCAACAATTTTTATAGGTACATGGAACGTTCGAACAATGTGGGAGACCAGGAAGACTAGTCAACTAGCAACAGAAATAAGGAAATACAACTTGGCAGTACTGGGAATTAGCGATACCCATTGAACCCATGCTGGAAAAACTTAGAGAAAAAACAAAATTTATCAGAAACAAAAGAATAGAATAAGTATCAATTGAAGTGTAAAAACTATAAAGCAAATGATACCTTTTAATATCAGAAATTTGTGAAAATTATTAAAATTTATAGTTCTCATCATGAAATTACCTTAATTAAATAATCATTAAGGACAAAAATGAAGTGAACAGTTGTTTTATCTTTGAATAGATCTCCACTGTATTGTAAGAATATAATGAATGCAACCGTAGTTTCAATGTATCATTTAAACCTGTTATTGCTTTATTGAACAATTTTCATATCTCTTCTTCTTCTCATTATTCAAAACTGATATAATCAGTTACTATTTTTGTTGTCGTTTAGGGTAGATATAAAATCCAATAATTTGTGTAATGATAATCTTTTCAAATACAATGAGTTCTAGTCATTATTCTATCACCACTTACAATCAATCTAAGAACGTGGTTATGCCAAGGATTATTTATTTCTTAGCATGCTATCTCTATATAGGTATTTGAACGAAAGGAAATGTAGACCTAAACGTACTGGTCATATATTTCGATAACAAATTAATTATTTTTTGAGATCAAGAATCGAATAATGTTAAAACACCATTAGAAATCTGTAAGCACTGGAGGACCGTTTCGTCATAGAATGAGATTCTTCAGCAGTGCGAAAAGGTCACCCAATGCTTAAAGGTTTTCATTGGTGGTCTAACATTGATCGATTCATGATCTCGATCAATAGTCCAACAATTTCCACGACCCCATACTAATATTTAAATTAATCTCAATGCTCTTATTATTTATAGAGATGCCTTCAAAACTTTTCTTTGGGGTTAAAGAAAATAGCAAAGTCGTTTTAATGCTAACCGCAATGTGCATTCGTCATTCCCTCTGAGATGAAATTCAGAACATATCAGTTCCAAAGAATTAATAAAAACTATAGAAATTCCACTGGTTGAAATCATGAGTCAATTGAAGATAGACCATCATGGAAAACCTGGATGCACTGGACGGCCGTTTCGTCCTAGCGTGGGACTCCTCAGCAGCGCGCATCCACGATCCCGCATCACACAGCGTTCGAACCCAGGGCCTACTGGCTTCGCGCCAGGCGCTTAACCAACTAGACCACCGACCCGGCATCCAACGGTGTTAATGTCTAACTTATTTCATTTCGCGGGGGGCGGGATCGTGGATGCGCACTGCTGAGTCCCATACTAGGACGAAACAGCCATCCAGTGCTTCCAGGTTTTCCATGGTGATCTAGCTTCAATTGACTCATGATTTCAATCAGTGAAATTTCTTAAATCTCCACAAAACCCTTTCTGATAAAAACTATAGACCTAGAAGTTATAATATTACTGAAATTCAAGAATCTGAAAAACAGTGAAGAATACACTCAGACACAACTTGAGCCTTTAAAAAAAACGCTTTTTTTCATATTATCCTGAATCATCAATGGTAGAAGAGAAAATGATTGTATAGATGATTTTAACCAGTACAAACGTAATAATTTAGCAGATAACAAATTCCGATCAAATATTCAACAAACATCCTTTTTTTTCTATATAATATTTCCGACTAAATTCAGTGATGCAACAAAATGTTAACGTCTCTCATAATTTTTCTTTAAGGAAAGTTAATCAAAGCTTCATGTCAATCAATTTTAATGTTCAAATCTGATAGATGGATCATAGTAACAGTTATACTACTTAAATGAGTAATATGAATGTATCTCACAATTTAAATTATTTTCTAATGTTCAAAATTGATCAGTTATATAATTCTAAATTAAACACAATCCACAAGAACATATGGGATGGATAAGAAACGTTATCATTTAGATAGTTCGTTTCAATGAGAATAATCATTTCGATATTGAGATCATTTGTTTTGTTTACATTTTCCATAAGCGAAACAAAAAAGGTTACTTCAAGGCAAATTAATCATTTAAATAGGTAGATTATAGAGTTTGACACATGATTCTATAATTTAAGACTTATATAATTATCAGAAGGGGTTTTGTGGAGATTTTGGAAATTTCAATAGTTGGAATCATGAGTCAATTGAAGCTAGAGCATCATGGAAAACTTGGAAGCACTGGACAGCCGTTTCGTCCTATCGAGGGACTCCTCAGCAGTGCTCATCCACGATCCTGCCTCACGTGAGATTCGAACCCATGACACATTAGTTTCGCGCTCGAGCGCTTAACCATTAGACCAATGAGCCGGCATCCGACGGTGTTAATGTCTAACTTCAACCAATCTACTAAGATGAAACGGCCGTCTAGTGCTTCCAGGTTTTCCATGGTGGTCTAGCTTCAATTGACTCGTGATTTCAACTATTGAAACTTATATAATTATCAAGATTGTTTCTTTTCAATACTCTACACTGTTTTTATTTAATGAATTTGCTGTTTTAAGATAGTTTACAAATATAACATCAAACTAACCAGAAATACAGTATAAACAAATTATGACTAATATTATCGATTCATCCTATTTGTGATTCATCAACCTGGTGTATCTGTATCAAAATATGGTTGCTCAGTCTGGAATAATAACAATGAGATCATTCAAATCTTTTCTTATAATGACACATTTATAAGCATTCAACATTTCCATTATTTAATTAATAACTAAAACATCTTGAAGTCTAATATTTATTCTTTGTTTAACATAACGTGGTCATAAATCAATTTAA